TAATAGCTTACTATAATGTATTGGTTTTACTGATTATGGAAATATGTCTGTCGGCCTTTGGTGGATATAAAGTTGTTGATTTTTAATCACACCACATCTCCTTATTTTTTTTTTCGCCTATATTCTGTGCATTTAATTAGATTTATTTTAATATTTAGGCTTAAGTTACAGTAACTGCAATGTTTTAATCTCAATGTTCTTTTCAGGCACTTTTAAAAATGTAAAGCTTTATATTTCAAAAGTTTTATAAGAAATAATCAGTTAAAAAAAAACTCAGTGATGTGCACTTCAACTGCGCCATTATTTGTACTGATATTGCTTAAACCCCTTACTGATTAGACAACTTTTGATTTAATGTGTTATTGAGTAAACTTCTCAAAGATCCTTGTCACAATTGCCTTTTTTAATCATTAACTAACACACTAACTAATTGTATATCCAAGAAGGATATTTGAACAAGTATACGACAAAACGAATAACAAAGGGGAATATGGACAGTTGCTATGTCCGTTAATATGACTGAAATTAATTGGTGTGATGTTGGTTGGCTAGCAGGGTCGTAAAAACAGCCGTTCAGAATTATGTCAATTGAGATGTGGATGCGGAAGATGTCCGCCATGTACTAATGATAAACAACTATAATTTGACACATGTTCAAAAGGCTATTTCGGAAAACTTCATCTACTTACCTAATTACGTTAAGTGGCCGATTGAAGTAGATAAGTAGGAAAACAGGAAGTGATTTTGAAAATTTAGGATTTTGGTAATGCATGTTATGGCGATTCATCATGGTATACAATAACGCCAATTTTTTTCAGTTCAACGTAAGACTTTCAGACCCATACAACAACATTAGGAATGCAGAGTATGTCTTACGTTAGACGGTAAACTGAATTGTTTCATTATTGTTGTACTATCGGAAGTGATTCTTCAGCTTGATGGACGGGGAACCGTGTCCTTCTGACAAATAAAAACAAATAGATATAAACAAAAGCTAAAAGCTAAAGATTCGTCAGTCCTATTTATACCCTGGCTCATACCAAAAATGTTTCTCTACTTTACACAAAGAAGAGTACGTGTCATAAGAGGAAAACTCCGGTCTGTATTGATTTAAACTGACTGGAAATGGTAATTATGTTTAAATTAGTAGTATCAAATTCGCTAAAATGGCAATATTGTAACACGTCAGAGGAGTATTTGTGTTTAGATTGTTAACACGTCTCAATTTAATATAAAATAGTTCTCCGCACATGCTCTAGCTCCTGCTTTTCGTTCTGTTGTTAACAAAACAAAAATAAGGAGCAAATGCGGAAAGCTAATCTTATTTTGATTTTACTTTTTTAGCGTTAAAGCTATCTTATATCGGGTTTTGATCAAACTGCGTATTGTCACATATAGCCACGTTGACAAAACTTTCAGAATTTCAACATGATATCGACAGTGAGGTTGCTCTATATCTATATTTTAGCTGCTCCTGCTAGAAATATGAAACTATCTTGAATTTGTTGATGTGGATTTGAATTGAGAAATTATAATTTAAATGTCTAGACATGGACATATTTACAATTTAAACTTTTGTTTAAATGTCAGTTTTGAATAAACGGAGATAAGGATATATCGGTAATAAATTATTTGTTTGCTTAAAAAAAATTGAAGAAATCAAATACATGATTTTATTATGGACAAAAAGAGGGAAAAACTTTAGAGGTATATTTTATCCATGCTTATCTAAGCAGTTCTATGGTCATTATTTAGGTTTATTTGTTTATACATTAAAACCTTTTATTCAACAGGGACTGGATTGCAATAAAACATGCACACAATTTTAGGAGCTTACGGCATTGTGTACCTCCTATTTTATTTTCCGGTTTTCCATTAACAAAGCATAGATATTTGTACTGATATTGTTTTTTTCTACAAAACTTGGAATCGAAAATATTACAATTTATATTTTGAATTTGTAAGTATGTTGATTTCGAGTTAAATAAAAAAAAAAAACCAAACCAAACAAACAAACATTTATACTTAATTATTTTAGAAATTATTCATACAATCAAAACAGGAAGATAACATAATTATTGTAGGAAACAGTCAATTGTATAATCATAGATGTATTTCTATAAAGTCTCATTTTGTATTGCCACGTGTTTTTCTTTTTAAATTCGGCTAAATTTCCAGCATCGCGCGAGGGTTTAAAAATCATAGTTGTAATATGCATTACTGGTGATATGTGTAATTCGTTAAGATGTTTAATTTATTGAAATTGCCATAAGAGGTGACGGCCCTCAGGTGACATACTTATCTCATTACCTGGACATTTTTATCGTCGTACATCATCAGTGACATACAACTAATTAAGATCTTGTAAGATATGTCCAGGTCTAACAAAGGTCCTTAGAGTACAGCATGTAGGATATAAGGGTGTTAGCTTGTTTAGTATAAAGGTAAGCAAATAAATAAATAAAATAGACAAATAAGTAAGGAAATTCAGAAAGAAAGAAATATTTGAGACTCTGGGGAGCGTCATAATGATCATGTAAACAGATATTTTTTCTATATGAGAAAACAAATTCATTAATCTTACGGAAGTATATTAACGAAAAGAACGAAGTACAATAACTTTCCATGGAAAGAATAACTTTAACATTAGATTAATGTTGTGTTCCCTTTGGTTGTAAAGCAGAACTTTAGTGTTTTGCTATTGCAAACACGAGTATGAAATAATCTATGTACATGTATCCATATATGAGAGAAATAACAAAATTGAAAGTCGATGAGAGACCGACAAAATCATGGCAAAAAACGAAAAACTACAAAAAAACACCAGTCTACAAAAAACTACATAAAAAAAAGACCGCGCGAAACGAATCTCAACAAAAACCGGGAGAGATATCAAATGACAGCTGCTAATGATGATGTGCTGAAGTAAGCCAAATATATGAAAACAATATTGCCTCAATTTGACGGAATTTCCTATTTAAAAGAAATACAATAATCCTGGCTAGCATTTATTCCTAAATTGTTGGACATTGTTGAAGTCGTATTGAGTAGTAATAATACTTTACTTTTACTATTTAAACACATAAAGCGAATGTTTTACCATCATTTCTAAGTAATAGTAATATTTATCCTTACTGTTAGGGGTTATGAGGCGATCCAATCACCCTCTTATTATGAAAAATATCAAATAACATTAATACAAGGACATCAAAAAATATATATTTTATACTTATATATATAATGAAATCGGGTCCCTTTAAAAAAAAAAAACTATAACTAGGTCCGCCACAACTTTATGTTACGGGTACCAAAAGAGAAATATATCACATTGTGACAACATGTCAAAATGATTCAGATTAAAATGTTGGAAAACCTACTAAATTGGCGTTTTATGGCATATTTTAACCATATACTCAAATTTGGAATCTTTGTAAACACCGTAGAGGATTGGAACAAACTGCATCCATATATCGCCACAGCAAAGTTTCTTGAGATATTCAAGTCTCAAGTGATCAACACCTCTAACTAAACAATTCAACAATTTGATTTTAACCATTTTTTAATCATGCGCAACTTGCCAGAATATTGATCATGTTGAATGTGGCCAGTATTTGAAAGAAGAAGAAGTTATACGTGTTTGTTTGTTTTAATATAAGCATTCTAAGACATCCGTACACAAATTGTTTGGTCTTTATAAGAAAAACATGTTAAAACATGTTTGGATTGGAAATATTAATTTTTTTCGAGAAAGACTTTAGAAATGGAAAGAAAAGTCCCACATTTTTTCTAAAATTTGCCAATACCTTGAATATAATAACACATCAAACCATGTGTAAAGATGAAAAAAATGGGAAGGCCCTATTAGTACTATCAACGTAAAGTGGTTGTCTACGTTTTCCTGTGGGTTTAATGTGCGTCCGCGTAATTTAAGGATGACACATTACACTATCCTTAATTCTGACCGCGGTTGAAGATGGTGATTATCGAATAAGAAATTACAACTAATTGAAAAAAAAACTTAACTTAACGAAAAACAATATTTGTTTCTAAATTGGTTTCAACTATAAGACTGCGAACTGTATCAGCTATAATTATATAATTCCCTGTGATTATAAGGCATCCCTAGGATATCATATGAATTATCTCCGAATTACAACTTTAGTGCTTTACAGATTAGACTTTATATAATGTAATAATCATATCTACACCGCTCTTATATATACATATTTATTCAGAACGCCTTTATTCACGCTTAGGTCTGATGTGATGTTTTCTGTCTTATTAAATTTATACCAAATGCATGTATACTTGAACATGCAGATTTAGAAAATGTTCTGTATTTGAATTGTTTAGTTTCGCATTGAAAACTGTGTCTATTAAGCTAAATATACTCTATGTTGTATACAACTGTATCATAACTGCCTCTTATGATTGGATAGACTATCTTTGAAGTGCTATTGATAAGCAATCTCAAGAATCCGATAGTAAGTGGGTAATCTATTGCATAACACAATTAAACCAGCTCTAATTCATTTCCTTCCTCCAATAATTAACTTTCCAATACATTCCACGTTTTATTTGTAAACATTCTCACTTCTTTCTTCTTAGAGAACGAAGAAAATCCTTAATGGTCCTCATGACATTTATAGGAGGATAAAATATCACCAATGAGTAATATTAAGAATATTTTTCGTGAGGCAACTTGAGGGCATTGACATTACTTTATAATTACAAACATCATTATAAGAACCATTAAATGATTAAATTTGCATCAGTCTACATCTTGCATGTGTTCGATATTTCGGCATTGCTCCATTTTTGAAAGATCGACTTTTTCAAATGCAACTGTTTTGAATATAAAATTTTTTGAACTTGTTTATTGTCTTTTTCACAAATAAGCTGTATTATTTGAAGAAAATATACATGTTACAGCTTTCCCCCTAAATTTCAAATTATCAGACGATCCAACTGATAACCCTCCTCAGCATGGCACCTCACCGCACTGATATGTATCATTTCTATCTATGTATTGTACATATAACAGTTGGCAGTGATCGTGTTCTACAGAGTTCTTCTTAACTGGAATATACTTCCTACATTATGTAGACAAACCATTTCCTAGGCTCTTAGGTAAGTTATAAAATTGCAATATATATCTTAATACTTGATTTTGCCTGGAATTAAATCTATAGATTATAACTTATCATAACGGATTAGTTATTGCAAACTGTTAAATGATGCATGTGTAGTATCTACAGCTATTAAACAGTACATAGAGTATCTTTGTGGGAAAAAAACCAAACTGTCTGTTTTGTGGAGTGATCTACAAAAAGTATGTCTTAACAAAGTGTGAAAAGTTACGTAACTTTTGATATGAAAGTAAACACTTGTATATATTTTTGACATGAAACAGATGACAAAATTCTAGATTCTACAAAAACTACGTGTTTGAACTGAAGGCTGTTTTATGTGTTATATCTCACATTAATCTCCGATATTTTTTCTTGGACATGGTATGGTCAGCTCCTGGACACAGTATTATTTGATTACTATATAGATAAATAAGTAAATATTAAGAAATGTATTATGTAACTCGCAACACAGTGCAATTATTAATGAAAATATTTGATAAACGTTGATTGCTTTTAATGTTTGCAATCAAGCAATAAATGCATTTGGTGGAGGTATTTTTGCTCAGACTATTAGTTTTTATTGTTGTAAGTGCCCTTGTAATTTTCCGCTTTTGATAATACACCTCTTATTGTCAGAGTAAATGCATTTTACAGTAAGAAAGTTTTTGTTTGGTAAATATCAAACGGAAAGCAATCTATTTCAGTAATTCTGGCAACTATCAAAAATTCGCAACAAATCTATTTGGAACATTTCTATTCCATCTCTTGTATATTTTGAATAGAAATGGAATAAAAGCATATCGACTGTTTGGTATACGCATTCCTCATCATATAGTGCTATCATACATTGAGCGTAGGAGAGCAACGTTACGATACTAGACAAGGCAGATGTTTACAGTTTGTTTGGATGACATTAATGATTTTAAAGAACTTAACCCCTAACAAAGCATACTTATGAAAAGGATTTATTAGTGATATAGGTTTTATACAGACTGACTTTGGACATAAAGAAACATTCTTATTGATAAAAAAAATCTTAAGGGTTAATTTTTTCCTTCAAACCCATTCAATATCAGTTATGCTAGAGATTATGTACAATAGTGACTTGGGCTGTTAAGTTTGTAAGGACCGTATCATAATTAATTCCATTAATATATCGACAAAAATGTCAAGGTCCATGATACTATATTAAGTATAAATGTCTAATTAATACAAATGTGTATTGTTTATTACATTGTCATATACAATATAGATACATAGAAATATTAGAGTCATGTCATTTGATGATATATGCTTGTCTTTACCATGCACCTCCTACCAACAAACAAGGTTATCCCAGTTCATAACAACTTACACCCCATGTTTATTGTTCATGGTACAAGATTAAGGCATATAAACATGTTTGAGACAAAAAGTCCCCTGAAAAAAAGGCGTCAAGATAGAGAAAAAATATACTTTTACTAACTTCTACGTCATTTGGTCCCTGGTGGAAATTTGTCTCATTTGCAATCATACCACATTTTCTTTTTCATATTCATGAAACTCCCGACCCATGCATGAAAACTCAAGCACCGCCAGAAGGAGTACCGACTGCACAGAATTAAATCGACTTTGTGTATTCGAAGATTTTATATAGCCAGAAAAAGTATGCATATGGGAAACAGCTTGTTTTATTTTTAGTATCAATTCAAATAGCTCGAAAAGAATTGCCTCGCATTATATTCTATTTTAAGCAGTTTAGTACATGAGAAAGTCTTAAACTATGATATAGCTAATATGCAATAATCTCGTTTTACGTTATAACCACCATTTTTCTGTTCGTATACACAGAAAGTACTTACCCCGTTTCTTTTATATCAACTATTAAACGTGAATCGTGATAATAAATACAATAAAGATATTTAAGCACTTTTAAGGAGTACTGCATACCATGTTCATATGTGAATGTGTATGTAATTTAAAAATATAGCAGTGTCTTCATCGTTTCTTATCAACTGTGTTAATTCCTATAAGCAAGGTATGAATGCTTAGTAAAATATAAAGTGTGATCCCTAAACAAGGTTTGAACGCTTAGTAAAATATAAAGTGTGATCCCTAAACAAGGTTTGGATGTTAGTAAAATATTAAGTGTGATCCCTAAACAAGGTTTGGATGCTTAGTAAAATATAAAGTGTGATCCCTAAACAAGGTTTGGATGCTTAGTAAAATATAAAGTGTGATCCCTAAACAAGGTTTGGATGCTTATTAAAATATAAAGTGTTATCCCTAAACAAGGTTTGGATGCTTAGTAAAATATAAAGTGTTATCCCTAAACAAGGTTTGGATGCTTAGTAAAATATAAAGTGTGATCCCTAAACAAGGTTTGAACGCTTAGTAAAATATAAGGTGTGATCCCTAAACAAGGTTTGAACGCTTAGTAGAATATAAGGTGTGATCCCTAAACAAGGTTTGGATGCTTAATAAAATATAAGGTGTGATCCCTAAACAAGGTTTGGATGCTTAGTAAAATATAAAGTGTGACCCCTAAACAAGGTTTGGATGCTTATTAAAATATAAAGTGTTATCCCTAAACAAGGTTTGGATGCTTAGTAAAATATAAAGTGTTATCCCTAAACAAGGTTTGGATGCTTAGTAAAATATAAAGTGTGATCCCTAAACAAGGTTTGAACGCTTAGTAAAATATAAGGTGTGATCCCTAAACAAGGTTTGAACGCTTAGTAAAATATAAGGTGTGATCCCTAAACAAGGTTTGGATGCTTAATAAAATATAAGGTGTGATCCCTAAACAAGGTTTGGATGCTTAGTAAAATATAAAGTGTGACCCCTAAACAAGGTTTGAATGCTGAGTAAAATATAAAGTTTGATCCCTAAACAAGGTTTGGATGCATAGTAAAATATAAAGTGTGATCCCTAAACAAGGTATGAACGATTAGTAAAATATCAAGTGTGATCCCTAAACAAGGTTTGAATTCTTAGTAAAATTTTAAATGTGATCCCTAAATAAGGTTTGAATGCATAGTAAAATATAAAGTGTGATCCATAAACAAGGTTTGAATGCTTAGTAAAATATAAAGTGTGATCCATAAACAAGGTTTGAATGCTTAATAAAATATAAAGTTTGATCCCTAAACAAGGTTTTGATGCATAGTAAAATATAAAGTGTGACCCCTAAACAAGGTTTGGATGCTTATTAAAATATAAAGTGTTATCCCTAAACAAGGTTTGGATGCTTAGTAAAATATAAAGTGTGATCCCTAAACAAGGTTTGAACGCTTAGTAAAATATAAAGTGTGATCCCTAAACAAGGTTTGGATGCTTAATAGAATATAAGGTGTGATCCCTAAACAAGGTTTGGATGCTTAGTAAAATATAAAGTGTGACCCCTAAACAAGGTTTGAATGCTTAGTAAAATATAAAGTTTGATCCCTAAACAAGGTTTGGATGCATAGTAAAATATAAAGTGTGATCCCTAAACAAGGTATGAACGATTAGTAAAATATTAAGTGTGATCCTTAAACAAGGTTTGAATGCTTAGTAAAATTTTAAGTGTGATCCCTAAATAAGGTTTGAATGCATAGTAAAATATAAAGTGTGATCCATAAACAAGGTTTGATTGATTGATTGTTGGTTGCTTAACGTCCAGTGGCAAATATTTCATGCATATTCAGGACGAGAACAAGTTCACAATAAATACAATAGGTAGGTTCTGTAATAGATTAAGGGATTAAGGTCGGAGAAATTTAGACTGCCACGGGAAATGAGGGTATATTGGATAGGGACAGAAATTTAGCCTTGCAACAGGTCACCTACGGACCCCTCAAAGAGTTGTTGCAAGGGTTCTTAACGTGCAAAGAACGTGGCACTTTCTTTACACGAGGCATCGGATTTAACGTCCCCATTCTGACCGGACGTGGCTGCAAATTTGTACATCCCGCACAGCCAAACGGACGCCCCACTTTAGCACGGGTTTTACTGCCGGTCGGAGGAAGACCAATGGTGACCATACTTCTATTCCCCAGTCACCCTTGGGGGCAACAAGGTTTGAATGCTTAGTAGAATATAAAGTGTGATCCATAAACAAGGTTTGGATGCTTAATAAAATATAAAGTTTGATCCCTAAACAAGGTTTTGATGCTGAGTAAAATGCAAAGTGTATGAAGACGCATTTTGGAGAAGATTTTATGGTAAAGATGTTTTTTTTCATTCCATATGGTCAGAATTACTTATTACGTACGTATGACTAAAAAGAGCAATCGAGTTACTGTCAATGATATAGCAATCCAAATTTAAACGACCTGCAAAACGTTTAATTATATAAAACACGATGCTTTCTTCAATATTTATTAACATTGTCAAATGAAATTAAGTAAATCAGCTCTGCATTAAAAGCACCAAAGCATCACTATTTATCTGTATTGGTCATTGTTGGTGTTAGCTTATTTAAAAAATAGGAATAAGATACCAATGGGACATTTAAACAAAACAAAGCTTTGAATTCTCTCTCATGATGTTCTAGTGTTCAACTTGTTAAAACCTTGTTGAGAACCACCTGCAATAAACGTTTGAAATGTTTGTTTGGTAAGACATTAAATTTGTTATCCTGTAATACTGTACTGCCTCAGGAATAACTTATTTTTAGACCTGTTTTTAGACTCTCTAATAATCTTGACCTTACAAAATAAAGGCGTTTTTTTTGTGTTTTGTATTTGCATGATAAATTTTTCATGCCATGTTTATGATAGACATTAAATTTGATTTTAGACCAATACTGACCTCTCGTGAACCTTCTCCTTTGTTTGTTGTGTACCTTACGTAATTTGGTAATTCTGAGAGTTAATGCTGTACGGGGATATACCTCTAAATGTTCTTTGTCTGGTAATTTAATTATTATATACATTATAAAACTTGCGGTTTTTATCCAACGCAATCATAGGTTTGAACGTTGTTTTCAATTTAGACTTGTGTATTATAAATATTGTATAGAAACCGGTGCTGTCTATCGTTGAATACTGCATATTGACCTCTAGATGTCTTTGGTTTTTATTGTGTTGTTGGGTTGCTCTCTCATTGGCTTACACCTCACCATTTAGATCATTTCTATTTATAACACATTTCGTCATTTTCATCTTGTACATTTAATATAGATCATAATAGACTTTCGATCAGTTTTAAATTTGCGAAAGCGTAAAATACCGTCTTTAATTGGTGGGTTATTATTTGTTTCACTTTAGACCGGGATGTGCAAATGTATCAACCATAAAGGACAAGGCGGTTGTAACAGAATGATAGAAAACACCTTAGCCATGTACAAGTAGTCAAAAGCAATCTATTCAGTCTTGTTCTAATCAAGATGATTGATAATTGACCGCGTGATTATATTGTAGGTGTGCATTGTTTTCATTATATTAATTAGATACACAATAATAAATTAATGTATACACACTTAGACATTGATAGATAAACATCTTGTCCTTATGTCCTTAAGCTTGATTGTTCTTCTTAAAAGATATATATAAAACTACGAGATGCAAAATTCTGTAGACTCAAATCATAATACCGGTAGAAGGCCTAGAACACTGGCAAGATTACCTTCATTTGAGGGGGGTCTTTTAAATTAACTTGTTCGGACTGGCTTTCGGTATGGCAGATGCAATAGCTACATGTAAAACAGATCAACATTTGCAGTACAATCGATTCAATTCGATATTTTATTTACGTCTCACCTTATGCATACAATTACACAATACGCATATAAAAGCTGCACTTTTTATAAATAAGCCAAATCTGTACAGATTTATGAGCGACGATAACAACTAAAACAACATGTATTATACATTAATAAATATTAAACATGAATGGTAAAAATATATACGATGGCAAAATCCATTGTAATTCAATGGCTTTTGGAAACGCATTAAAAAATCTGCCGTAAACGGTATTTAGCAAAAACAATTGTCTTTAAGGGCAATCAGGAAAATATATCTTATTGTATCTGTCGTAGTGATAGTCGTTCATATAGGGTGGCCGGGACACTCGAACCTTTGAAATATCCATACGAATATTACAATATTACTGTCAAGTCTGTAATGAAAAGTCTGCAACTTAATTCAGAATCATTTAGATGTCCAAAATTTCTCTTATACACGCAAGGAGGAACGTCCTTGTTTAACTAAACTGCTACGATTTTTTTTCATGACGTTGAAAGGTGTGAAAATTTACAGTTTTTCAAAAGACAATGACATTTTCTTATAAACAAAACGGGAAGTTTATATAGTAATTCATGTTGCTAATGTGTAGAATAAGAAAACTAGTTATCACTTAAGAAACTTAAAATACCCTGGCGTGACTGTTGTTTTGTTTGTCATGTACAATTATAAATCGAGGACAGCTGATAAAATAATATAAAACTATCATATTTGTAATTTTTGTTTTTTTTCCAACAGATATAAGTACATTTATGGAATCTTTAAATCTTCAATAGGAAAAAAGTGCATGTAAGTACAATCTTTACTAACATTATAGTAACTTCCAAATATTAATAGATATTTATATTAATATAAATACCAGGGACGCCGGATCCAAGAAAATAAGGAGGGGGGGGGGGGGGGGGGGGGGGGGGGGTAATTCCATAAAAGTGAAGATAAACCGGATCCGCCACCAAAATACCGATATCTTAACTAAACCGGTAATATTTTGTGGAAAAAAAGAACACCTGAAAAATGTAATTGGCGTGTTTTTCGATTTATTTTTTATTCTATAAGGAATGACTTCAACAAATGAACAATTATCTGGTAATTTGCCGATCTTTTTTTTCAAGCAATAAGAGTTATGACATTAATAATGGTATGATGATAATACCGTACCATTGCTGACGTCATGACAATTGCATATATGGGATCTTATAAATCTGGTTGGCTACTTATAATGCCAACTGTATTTATTTAGCGAAAAATGCAGTTCTTACATTTGTGAGTTGTATTCAAGAAGAATCAAACGTATATAATTATAGCAAAGGAAATAGTATGTTTATATGAAGTATGATAGATGAAATTAAGGTATGCAATTAAGCATTTTGTCTGTCATTTAGCATTATTAATTTGCTGGCTGGAGTGTAATTATTTCTTTTGATCACCACTGCGTGCGATTGTTTTCATCAGTCGTGTACCATGTATACACCTTACATATATGATACAAGTGGTAGATCAGACAGATAATCGGTAGGCAAACATACTTAAACGTTAAGTACCCAAACAATAATGTTAGAACTGTTGCATGTTCAGAATGTTCATAGACATGACTTTTTTCCCAACATCACCATTTTAATGGGAATACTACGTATATTTGTATCAAAAGGGAACAGTAATATTTACTTCTGTATATTATTTTCAAGTTGACATGCATGAACAGAGGTTTTACAAGTTGGAGAATGCCATCAGCTGTACTTTAGTATATATCCTGATTTTTTTTTTTTGTGTAAAATCTGTGATCACTATACATGACTTAAAGCCACAACAATTCTGATTTATAAAGAAACCGACTATTTTGCGAAAGAAAACGGTCATCATGTATTTTTTTCAGCTGTGAACCTGAATATTTCAACAAATCATAGTACTTCTGATGTCTTTAGTTCTATATAGGTCTTGTGATCTTGTTACATTATTTTGTATAACAAGATTTTTAGGCTAAGTAATCCCTTTCATTAAATCATCGGTTGGGGTTTCTGAATCAAGATTAATATCTGAATCATTGTGAAATTCTAACCATTTCTTCTAATGATCGATCAGGATAAATATTTAGGTCCGGATTGTGTAGTAGGGCTTTTTATATTCTATGACCTCGTTTACTGAAATGGAACCCTCTTACCATGCATTCATGGAAAATACCAATTTTACCTATGAAATGTATTTTTATCCAATCAGACCACCGTTGTTTATGTTGAATTTTAGATGAGAACGAAAACAATAAATTCTGGTGACGAACTCCCGCGAAAATCATTTTTTTGAATGGAGACAGTATCACACATTATAAAAAAGAAGTGAAAAAATGTAATAACACAAATACCGAACTCCAAGGTAAATTCGAAAAGGTGAAAAAATTAAACGCTCGATTAAATCAACCAATGGAACAACTGGAAAACAAATGTCTCATTGCTGACTTGGTGAAGACATTTTCCGGAAAATGATAAGAGGACAAAAATACGTCGGGTAATTAACTGGCAAAGGACCACGACAGCAAAGTGAATAAAATATAATAATGATGGACATGTGGAACGGATTTTGATTATCCTTTACCATTAATTCATATTTTACATTAAATCCCGACCTAAAATAACACCTGAGCCCAACTTAACTGAAGTTCTAAACCTATACTAGATCTCGCATTAACGTCTAGTTACTCACTCCTGCTCATATTAATTAGATTCTAAACTCCGACAAGCTTTTTGGAAAGATTGTAGTTGTTACATTACAATGAACCAAATATCAGCCCAATATTTACCTTTCTTATCAATTTGTTCTTTTTTCCACATCTGCAATTATGAAACTGTGAAATGTTTACAAATAACTGTCAGTATTCTGATTACCCTTGGTGTTGATTTCCGTTCCTCGGCAGCGATGAGAACAATGACAGTCACATGTAATAGCATGTTTGAGTAACCATGAGGTCTGCTACAACGAGCATTTTCTGAAATTATAAAATTTTAATGGCCTCGAGCTCGATTTTATCTAAAGTCTGGCACAACACTTATATGTTACATTACTTTATTCGAGAAATAAGCTTAACATTTAAAGGATTAGCTTTAAAAAATATTATTTCGTGGAGTTTATCGCTTTTTACTGCTCCAGTTCATCGGAAGCTGCTTAATTTTTAAGCATTTTAAGCTGCATAACCTTTAGATATTAAAAGTATTATTTCTAAATTTTAGCACGTTCTTATTTTTATATCTTAAACAAATTTTTAAGGCAGAAACAAGTCTAAAATGACTTTGAACGATGTTTGAATCATGCAATCATGAAGAATAAATAAAGATATACATTTGAATTTCATAGTTAGTATACATTGTACTTTCAAGAGAATGTAAAAGTTATTACTAATGATATCTGTTTACTTTTTACTGATTTTTTTCGCCTGAATACCAGGAACCAATAACAGGGTAATCGGACTATCGATCGCTATCACCCGAGTAAATAGCTAAATAGCAGATGCTAAACTCCGATTGAACTCAATGGAAAAAAAAATCATCTTTCTTATTTTGCCTTTCGTGCCGAAAAAAATATCATCTTATTACTCATAGTTGCATAGGTATATTACTGGTAGGAGAAAAAAAAATTTCCAGTGTTTCAACTAATAGTTTAAGAAAAAATGTATTTTATTGAAATTTCGTAATTACTACATATCGCAACTGTTGTTAAGTTTCGTAATTAAAAGTAATTGCAATACATCAATATTAGATGACGGTTATGATCAGGCCTTACACTCCTTTATATACTAGACAGAAGAGGTTTCTGGTTTTCTCATTTCATATACTCTTCGTAGCCATCTTGCTACAAAATACGTTATTGCGAAGATAAATAACCATCTTTTAATGAGTATTACATTAGCTTCCTGCAGACAAATGCATATAGTTATTTTTATTATAATTTCCATGATATTACCACCTACAGCTCCTGATAAATATAGACACTGCTATATTGCATGACAAAATAACACGTGGATCACATGTTTATATACAAGTATATATAGTTTAGTACGTTCATTCAATTTAAAATGTATGTTGTCTGAAATTAAATATGTAGAAGATTTCTCTCTTTTACAAATCAATAGTATTTTCTTTTTCCAGCTTCGTATATGTTGGACTTCACATCTGTACAATAAATCATTAAGAAATCATCACACAATTCGCATACATATAGGTATGAAATAGACTATTACTTAAAATCATTTTAAGTAAGTGAAACGCAATATTATGTTTCAACGTTTTTTTTTAATTAAAATTTCAGATACACATAACATGGCAGAGGGAAATTGTGCGAAATGTTCCAGATTACTCCTAATTGTTTTTAATTTCTTATTTTGGGTAAGTTAAATCAGAATACATCTATTACAACAACAAACAAAACACCAACATTTACGGTAAGAAATATGAAAAAGTCTTGAAGATGAGGTTGATTCTTAAGGTGGTACCTAACACTACAGGGAGATAACTCTGTAAAAATCAACTAAACGTTTTAATCACGTTGTATTGTTAAGGAAATATTAAGCTTCTCAATGATCAAATTAGTGTTTGTCAAACTGCTATATAGCCAGTGAAAATTTTCTGATAAAGTGGTTGGTTCAAATTATTTGAAATTTTTATATTTTTGTCAAAGGGTCAAAGTAAACATTTTGTCAAAATTTTATGAAAATTAAACGAGCCAAATTAATATTAGTCAAGGTGTTGGGTACCACCTTAATATTTGATTACTCCTCCAGTAGTTTTACTTTGAAATCATATGATTCGTTCCATTTTCGTCTCCATTTCGCAATTTTGAAATCCTCGGAGATATAAAAGTAGCTAAATTTATATGCAAAAATAGATATGCGAATTATGCCTTTGTTATGTAGAGTTCATAGAACAAATCTGACAAAGTGAAACATATAATTGTAAAACCTTTATTGCATTTCAATTTACCTTGTGACAACTGCAATATTTATTGTCTTAAGTTTGTTTTATATATATAATTCGACCTCACCACTCAATAAGCTATACAGAACCACTTTTTACGCCTATAATGCACGAACAAACAACAATCTTGCATCTAAATCTCATGAAATGTAACAATCAATCATAAAACCGTAAATTTGCGATATTTATTGATACCCGAAGGAAGTTCGAAAAAAGGGGTATATAAGGAATCACTCTGTCTGCTCGTTTGTTTATGCAAGTCATGTCATGTCCAGTTTAGAACTTTTTGTCCACAGAAGATCTCTTATATTGTTTATCTCGTTTCGATAGTTGTATATTTTTTCTAGTTGGCCAATTGTTTTGAATCTTTATAGTCAACTGAGAGGTTTAAAACAAATTGTTACACAAAAAAACATTGAATCTTTGTTACACTCTTGTCAATTGATTTGAACTTATCAATGCATCACGAAAATCCATTTCAAAACTGATTCCATTTATGGTCGATTGCATTTTTTCGGGGTCTTAGCTGGCAAGTTTGTCGAACCTTTAAATGTTGGTATGATAACCAGGACAATGTTTTACAATCAATTTATGCTTAGAGCAGACGTAGTCGCAAAAATGGTGGCCAGAAAAAAATGTCATTTGAATATCTAATTTTATCAATCAGAATGAAATTCTTTAATATTTTAAGTAAACACATTGATGTAAATATGAAGTAAAAGGAATACTTTATTACTTTTAGGTATGTGGTGGAGGACTGTTAGGAATAGGATTGTGGTTACGTTTTGACAATGACATATATAGTAAACTAGAAGATACAGTACAGTTAGAGCTAGATTTACCATCTGACGTTATTTTTCCTGCTGCGTATGTGTTAATAGCAGCTGGTGGATTTATATTTCTAACGGGTTTCTGTGGATGCTGTGGTGCCATAAGAGAGAGCTTTTGTATGCTTGGAGTGGTGCGTAGAATTTAATCATCATCATCATCATCATCATCATCGTCATCGTCATCGTCATCGTCGTCGTCGTCGTCGTCGTCTTTTTCGTCTGTCGTCGTCGTGGATAAACTAGATATGACGGACATATATTTTCTTGTTATTAATTTTTTGTCAACTATTCATTCATCAGTGACATGCTTTTTTAATTTTTCAAACCTTTGGTTTCCACTGTACCTAGTATCGATTATTTCTGAATTATTTCTCGACAACAGTAATACACATAAAACCAAACATTACAACCTGTATTGACCCCTTTTAAATGGACAATTATTATGACAACGAGGTGTATTAGAGGATTCTAAAGGCTCTTTGCGTTACAGAAATCTCCTCTTGAAAACATTTATATGTAGATGGAATAAACGAGAATCTATTGTGATGTACTCAGCTTCATATTTACCAGTTGTTTATTCAGATTTATTTTAAACATTTGTAGATAAATTAAAACTTCAACTTAAAAGTACATTTAATTTTACTGTAAACACTTAATCGACATTGATCTTATTTCTCCAGTCAATGTTATTTAGAATATACTGTCTATCTCATTAGATAAAAAGGTGTCTGATCGCCAACTGATTCAGTTAGTTACCACTAATGACGTCATAACCTGAAGGGTGTCAGCTGTTAACATATTTTTATATAAGTTTTTACGTGTTTGTGGGAAAGAATTTGTTTAAATTATTTTTTTCATTTTTTATGTGTGAAAAATATTATATCTTTCACTAATACATTATTTAAAATAAAAGCTTTCAGGACATACTGTCACATACAAAACACACTCTCGTGTGCACACGTTTTACCAAAAAAGACATTAAATCACGCCAATAAAGCAAAAAGGCATTTGAGAAATTCTGATATATTGGCTCTCAATAATGACAACTTCAGTATGTATACTAAAGAAATTTATCCTGTTGAACTTACATTAAATAAAGCTAATACTAACAATGACCATTGTCCTTTCCTCGATCTTGATATCTATATCATTAACGGGAAGCTTAATACAAAAATTTATGATAAAAGAGATGATTTTTCATTTCCTATCGTTAATTATCCATTTTTAGATGGTGACGTTCCCTTGTCACCTTCTTATGGTGTTTATATATCTCAACTTGTACGATTCGCTCGTGTATGTAACAACGTATTAGATTTTAGCGAGAGAAATTTATATATTACTGAAAAATTATTACACCAGGGTTTTCGATATCATAAACTAGTCAAAACATTTACTAAATTTTATCATCGGTATAAGGACATCATTCATAAATATAACTCAACATGCAGACATCTTATACGTTCGGTTATTTCACATCCAATCTTTTATGGTAATATTCTTTACAAAGCACAAAAATGCCAGTATTCACCTCAAAAGCTAACAAAACCTTTAAACAGACTTATTAAGAAGGGATATAGTTACGATACTGTTGTCAGGTCATTAAAGATTGCATATTTTGGCTTTAATATTGATTCACTTATAGGGTCTTTGCATCGGAATTAAACATATTTATTCTAAAACCAGTTGTTGGCATGACACGGGTTGTGTTCTTCTCATATATTTTATGACGGTATAATACTAAACCCCTAACAGGAGGGATTGTGCCTGATATTCATATGATGAAGACATAATCTTTCAATCAGTTTAATTGAGGTCTGGAGCTGGCATGTCAGTAACTGCTAGTAGTCTGTTGTTATTTATGTACTATTGTCATTTTGTTTATTTTCTTTTGTTTCCTATTCTGACATCGGACTCGGACTTCTCTTAAACTGAGTTTTACTGTGCGTACTGTTGTACGTTTGTTTTTACTACATTGGCTAGAGGTATAGGGGGAGGGTTGAGATCTCAAAAACATGTTTAACCCCGCCGCATTTTTGCGCCTGTCCCAAGTCAGGAGCCTCTGGCCTTTGTTAGTCTTGTATCATTTTTAATTTTAGTTTCTTGTGTATAATTTGGAGTTTAGTATGACGTCCATTATCACTGAACTAGTATACATATTTGTTTAGGGGCCAGCTGAAGGACGCCTCCGGGTGCGGGAGTTTCTCGCTGCATTGAAGACCCATTGGTGGCCTTCGGCTGTTGTCTGCTCTATGGTCGGGTTGTTGTCTCTTTGACACATTCCCCATTTCCATTCTCAATTTTATTATTTGTTTTAATATTTTTTCAATTATTGTAGAAGTCCCTTAGGAAAAGGAAATATATCAGAGAAAAATCTAAATTTATGTTTACGTTGTTTGTATTTTGTGTCAGTTGGTATCATTCCTGTATTGGAATATACACCAGTAAAATTATTTGATTTTAACTTTTTTCAGTTCTTCCGCTGATTACCATTCTAAGTCTGCATAACAGAAATAAACTCGTTTTTTTTCTGTTTCAGTATATTGCATGTTTGATTATTGTGATATTAGCAGAATTAGCAGCAGGGATTTATTTAGCTATTCAAAGAGCAGATGTAAGTAACTATATGATTTTTTTCCAATATACATTTGTTTTGTTTTGTTTATAAATGTTTTAGATAGACTAACGATTCAGTAAAACGTACAATAGAGTAAGGCACCAACATAACGAAATTCATATAAAAGAGGATCAATTTAGTCAAGATCAAGACATGTATTTCATTGATGCAAAACTCTTTTGTTTTATTTTCATAACCGTTACGGTCTGAACAGTTACTGTAATTTGTCCCACTTGCCATTTATGTTCACGTTATGGAAACATAAAAGTACATTATTGGACAGGAAACTTACTTTCCGGAACAAAGGAAGTGCGTTTTTGATAAGGATAACCTGATCGTGATTGATCCTTGCATATGAGTTAAAGAACATGAGAATACCTCAATAAGACAGCAACCCAAACCAACACAATAAACAAAACACTTAAAAATAGTACGAACTCAGCTTAAGACAAGTTTCTATAACTTTTACGTCATTTTGTCTCTGGTGGAGAGTTGTTTCATTGGCAATCATACTTTACAAAGCACAAAAATGTCGGCATTCACCTCAAAAGCTATCCAAACCTTTAAACAGACTTATTCGGAAAGGATATAGTTACGATACTGTTGTCAAGTCATTAAGGATTGCATATTTTGGTATTAATATTGATTCACTCATAGGGTCTTTGCATCGGGAATAAACACATTTATTCTAAAACCAGTTGTTGGCATGATACGGGTTATGTTGTTCTCATATATTTTATGGTGGTATGATACTAAACCCCTAACAGGAGGGATTGTACTTGATTTTCATATGATGAAGACATAATCTTTCAATCAGTTTAATTGAGGTCTGGAGCTGGCATGTCAGTAACTGCTAGTAGTCCTTTGTTCATTTATGTTTCATTGTCATTTTACTTGGTTTCTTTTGTTACCTATTCTGACATCGGACTCGGACTTCTTTTAAACTGAGTTTTACTGTGCGTATTACTATGTGTTTCTTTATTCAACATTGCTAAGAGGTATAGGGGGAGGGTTGAGATCTCACAAAACATGTTTAACCCCGCCGCATTTTTGCGCCTGTCCCAAGTCAGGAGCCTCAGGCCTTTGTTAGTCTTGTATGTTTTTTAATTTTAGTTCATTTATATGTTTTGGAGTTTGGTGTGACGTCCATTGTCACTGAACTAGTACACAATTTTATTTAGGGACCAGCTGAGGACCACCTCCGGGTGCGGGATTTTCTCGCTGCGTTGAAGACCCATTGGTGGCCTTCGGCTGTTGTCTGCTCTTTGGTCGGGTTGTTGTCTCTTTGTCATATTCCCCATTTTCATTCTCAATTTTATACTACATTTATTTTCTTATTTTTATAAATTATGTCAAGTTGTATATTGTTTTCCTAAACAATTTTGGAGTAGATTTACCATTCACATAAAAAGTACAAGACGCAACGACAACTAGCGAGGTTCACATCAGTATTGACAGACATATGACTGGGTTAAAGTCTTTAGTTTTCTATGTTGTGTTTTATTTTTTGTGTACTGTTGTTTGTCTGTTTGTCTCTTTCTTTTTTTAGCCATGGCGTTGTCAGTTTATTTTCTACTTATGAGTTTGAATGACCCTTTGGTATAGTTCGACTCTCTCTTTAAACTAAATTGCTTGAGCACCACCGCACCTCATTTGATCTCAATCAGAGTACTACTAAAAGGCATATATAAAATGGAACACTAAAAATCTATTAAGAAAATATCCTGAACTCTACAATATTTTTGTCACGACATTCAAGTCTATGGATATAATTTTTCTGTTAGATATAATGTTGGTTGAGTAAAGGTTCTGAGCACCTCTGTTCATTTGCTGTTTGCTCTTCTTTTACTAATTAATAATGCAGCTTAATACTACATAATCGTAAAGAGCCTTTTTATTGCCTGCAATCATAAGGTAAGACATCGCAATAAAGTTTGAGTAATTATCAGATTAGATCTTAGGGAAATATCGTTTCTCCTCTTCGACAAGCAATTTGAACCATAGTGACGTGTAATCTCAAGTCACTGACGTAATAAGTATATATCTTAAAACGAAAGAGCAACTTCTTTGGTTTATTTAATGTTATGGTTACATTTGATTGGTTAGCAGAACAAAGAGGTGTTTTTTTCACAACGGAAATGTACAGTTAAACACGTGTTGATCACTGACACTACCTAGGTGAAGGTAAACTTAAGCAAACTTTTGACCTTTAGCGAATAATTAAAAATCCGCATCACACACAATTGATTGAATATACGCTTTGCTATTTTAATGATATTTGAAATTGCAATACAATAGTCTCCTCCATTAGCCAGTATTAACACTTTTTTGGGATACAGGCTTCTTACATTAGCTGGCTTCCTGCAGTAGCGAACTCATTGACCCTGCTTTCCAAATTCTGCGCCGGTTTTATTTCTTTGTTCATGTTAGTTGGTAGCTGCGCTGTGCAAGGTTTTTTGTGTGTTTTATTTTTATTTTTACGACATGCGTACGGTCTAGGTAAGTAAAGGGAGAGGAGATCCGTTTGTTTGGCCAATATTTTTCAGTCCCAAAAAATAGGGACCCGTTGCATTTTAGAGGAAATGTTTAGTTAGCTCCATTACCTCATAATTCTTTTCAAATAATACTTCTTTGTTCTCCTAAGTTTAGGACAAATACAAATATATCATGTTGCTTTTGACCTATGGGAGAGTCAACGAAAAATTATTGTCAGTTGTACACAATGACCATTAGTACTAACTAGTCTTAGTTTTAAAGTTACATAAAATGACTGCGTCCATAATATTTATTTGTTAATTGTAATTTGAAACCTCTTCCATAGTAGTCATAGATTTAAGTGGTCTGTAAGGTAGATATTGAATAATACCATTTTGACATTGAGCATATGAACATGCTTTGTGTAAACCGGTTCATTGTACTACAACGAATGCAACTATATGTAATTTGTTCATAACAATTAAGCGATTATAAATATATAGTTGGCATTTGGCAATAAGGTACCCCTACGTATGACAGAACTGAAACTATGTCCAGTATTAAGCAGGAACATATATATTGACCGATAGTTTTTCAGTCGGACGCTACCAAAATCCACAAATCTCGAGAAGTCTCGTGAAGTCCGAGATTTTATCAATTTTATACTGAAAAGCCTATCAGATTCATTTCCCGTTAGATATACCGTTCCCAGTATTAAGTAAATAGCTTACTAAAAAGCAAAGTCGACGATGCAACACGAAAACGGAAAAAAGCACATTGAATAGAATGATTACTATATAGCTAGTGTTTCAAATCCGTCATTAAAAGACTGACATACAACTGAGACTACTATAACACAGAAATTGGTCACTATAGATTTATCGGATTATCTGAGTCTCCGGTAGTTAGCTACGTTATTTTAACGTAGTTTCGTATTCGACCGTAGCAGACGACATATATCACCTATCACTGAGAATACTATAACAGTATCGGATATTATTATTTTTCTTTTAAAAATAATTTAAAAACAAAATTGAATTAATCAAAAAAAAAAAGAATATAGTTTTTATCTTTCAAATGCAGTTATCTCTATTCATATTTAAATTTTTGTTTTAATCAATAATAATTTGTTAATAGTTTGTTATTATGCGGCCACTCTTGAAAATGTGAATGTGATTAATCTTATCAATCTTAATACAAATCCTTGATCTTACAGCTACATTGTTTTGCTACACGTCCGTTAATTGTATCTAATATACAAATATTTTACCTGTAAAGACAGGTAGTCTCAAAAGCATGGGAGATGAATTTTGTTTCACAGCTGGGTGCCCAAGGTACACGAGGCTCCGTTTATTGCAGTAAACTTTTATTCTATACTTGTAAGGTATTTCACTGCTGAGTGCCCAATATACATGTTTATTGTAGTAAACCTTGTCAAATATCGTCGGTGCACTTGTGGTAGGATTCAGGAGGGTGTGGATGGGGTTTTATAGAATGGAGAAATAGGGGCAAAAAGGTATAGAATGGAGAAAAATGGACCGACAAATAAAGAATAGAGAAGAGAAAATAATAAGTTATTAAGATTTAAAGAAAAGAGAAAAATGGCATAGAAATTATAGGAAATAAAGAACCCCCATCCAGACCCTCATTCAGATTATCCAACGTAATTTTTTTTTTCAAACAAGTTTCAACCCCCCCACCCACTTTTTTAAATTTTCGTCTGATAATTAGGTCAAGTTTTTGCAAACAATGTAATAAGCGGCGATCACAGAAGAGAGAAAAAATTTCATTAAAGGTAAATGAGTAATTTCCTTACGTAACAGATCAGCAAAGAGGTTATAACAATGCAATGGATACATAAAGCAAACATAAGCCCTACAAATTATATATATGTTCCCAAAATATCGCTGGCATTTTCATTTTTCAATTCACAATGTCCAGTAACATTGATTTTTTATCTTGGGATGATAGTGATCTCAATCTTGATCTTTTACGTGGTGAATATACTGCATCAGATTTTGAATCTGAGGATGACTATACGTCCCTGCTGCAAAGACTGCAAAAACTACAAAAACTCCAAAAGAAGCATCAACCGCAAGTACATGTAAATCAGAACGAAGAAGCTTCAAAATTATGTGACTGAATAATCAAATTATCTCTATGTTAACATAAATAGAAACACATTAGGGTAATTTACGATGACATTTTTTCAACACCAGAAATATGTGCCCTCTTTCAAAATCCCAGACAAGAAATTTTGTGCTTCAATACAGAGCCGTAAAGTTTTTGAAAATTTGAATATTGTCTATTGTTAAAGTGTCGTATGTTTTAGTTATATCGCTATGCTTTTTGTAACCCTAATAATTGAGCAACTCAGATGAAAAGAGTTGTGATTTGCTTTAGTTTTTTTAGCCACAGCAAATATAAATGTGCTTGTTCAATGTTTGGTGACATACCATGTTAATTGTTGTCTGCATGATGCTTTGTAAAAAGGTTTCCTATAACATTTTTTTGTTGGGTAACTGCTGACAGTTTACCATGTGAAAATTCTGAGAAGCCAAAAATAATGATATCACCTTTCTGTAAATTCAACTTCGATTCACAACTGCTTGTCAGTGGCAAATATTTCATGTACAGTCAGCCTGATTAAACCGAAATGAACTATTTTCAAATTATGTTTAAAGTTTGTTTTTATGTTATGTCGTTACACCAATGTCCCATGCTAGTGGTGGTGATGAGCGCCTAAAAATATTTAACATTGTCATTCTTTATGTGCCCGTCTCAAGTCAGGAGCCTGTAATTCAGTGGTTGCTGTTGGTTCATGTCCGTCATATTTGAATTTTCGTTAATTGCTTTGTTATTGTAGACACTTCGTTTTCTCTAGTGAATTGTTATATATTTTCCATGTCGGGGACTTTTGAAGCTGACTGCACGTTATAGGTTTTCTCATTGTTGAAGGTAATTACGGTGCATTCCAATAACTTACATCCACTTCATTGAACTTCATTTGGACTAAAGGAGTTGTCTGATGATCATTAGCAAAAATATATAAAAATCTCCTTAAAGTTTGCTTCAAGTGGCTATTCCTTTAATATATAAAGATGTGCGGTTACTTGTTTTTTTTCTTTCATTGAACTGTTATCCAAACTGAGCGTGTTACACAATGTAGTGAATTTCTGCATTCCTGTCTTAGTTTTAATGTATATAATAATAAACATGTATATTCAAAGACTTAAATATTTATTTCTCCATGTAAGACAAGCATGACAAATTCAATGAAATTAAAAAAAATACTAAAAAAAGTCATTTTCTCCTGTAGTACTTCTCCCTTCTTCTAATGCGTGATTTCTTTCTGGGGGGTATTCCTACAATAAAGAATATATTATAAATAAAAAGAAATAATGTTTGTCAAGTTTATAGCATAGGCAATTCATTAATTTTTAAGACAGTAATCTGAGACTTGAGACTCAGCAGTAATTGACCAATCATGTCAATATGGATCAACTGATAAAGGATGCAGACCAAAGGTGCATGTACTTTTTACATCATGTTTGGGTCAATTATTTAAAAAAAATACGTCTATTTAGGAACTCATGGTGTACTGGTATTTCACATGGTGACACATTTTCATTGCATAATATTATCATACTAGCATGTATAGACTGCATATATATTATCAAGGGAACCAAATATAAATCTAAATTTCTTTCACTAACAATACAAATTCACCTATCATACCTCATGTTGTGTGTGTGCAACTTGTCTCGTGTGTTTCTCAGTTCTGCAGCGGGAACTTACTGATACAGAAAAATTGGAATTTCATATAATTACAAATTTTACATCATTACATCGGTTAATTACTAAGGCTTGCACATACATTATCCGGAAAACAGATTGTTCATCTGAATGTAAGTTATGGGTGAGTTGCTCATTGACCCTGTCCCACGGACTGGTAATAACTCGAGGTTACTTTCCGGTTTGGTCGGTAAATTCAAGTCTATAACTGCACTAATTTTATTTAAAGTGCTTATAAACCAACATTTATGAACATGTCAAATCTTATATTCACACTTACCGGAACATAACACTCTTTATAAATCCACATTTGTTAATTATTATTTTCTCTTTCGCTGTCAAAAATGGCGGTCGAATCCTTCTTGTCAATCATTGCGAGTCACGTGCCAAGTCACGTGATCGAAGACTTACAATTAATTACTATTTGACTGGTCAGTACGGGAAGTGACCAATCTCTGTGTTATAGTAGTCTCAGCATACAAGTACAATATAAATGTGCTAAAGACGAATTTCAAATTGGTGTGTTTTCCTGTATATTTTCCCATGTTATTGCGTCACAGAAAGAACCGATTGTTCAACTACGTCATTCACACCGATTGAACTCGAGTCAACCGGTGTAACTGATTCATAAAAACCCTCGAGATTGTTTGATACGACAACCCTAAATATATCCAAAGGAACACAGGATCCTCGAAAGCGACATTCTGAATCTCACATTTACCAATTATCTTAAGAAAAGTAAGACAAAAGAATGTGAAAATACAAATAACATAGCGTACTTTGATGAAAGGCAGTTGATGATAACAATTAATTATACTTACATTTCTGTGTTAGTGTTTATTTATTGGTTGTTACTTTTCTGATAAAGATCTAATAAAACTAAACGTTATATCAATTATATATTATGATATATCCTATTTATTGCTTTATTTAATAACACGGAAATAACAAAATGATAAAGCAAGTTTATATATTAAAAAGAAATTATATAAAGATTTTTATTATTTCAGCTTGAAGATATGTTCCATACCCACTTACTGTCAGAAGTGAGAAATTATACAAAAGAAAATAATTCTTCTATGGATTACATTCAGAAACAGGTACTTTTGAATAAAAATCATATGCAATATGCCATGTACACCTGTACCATTAAAACAACCCTGTTTAAATTTGCTGCGTCCGAATCGCTTTCCTGGATTAACCTTCGTTAGGAACGCACAAACTGTAAAATAGGAAGACAAAGGGTGTATAAGTAAGTACTATATTCCCCAGTAGGAAGACAAAGGGTGTATAAGTAAGTACTATATTCCCCAAAAAGACCCAAAAGGAATATCAAAATCCAGCTAAATTTAACTTCAACATAAGATGAATAGAACGTTATTTCAGATTTTAAAAAAAGATCGTATTGATGCATGTTCCAAACATTTGTCTTTTTGAAAATCTTTTCCTGTCTTTTGTATATGATTGACACATGTATTACAATTGGTAAAACAGAATTCATGAACACGACTGCAATTAATGTAATTCTTTATCAATTTTAAAATAACATTTTATCTAACACATATACATAAACTAAATACACTTTTCCATTCAAGACGTTTTAGAGTTTATGCATCAAAATCGAGGAAGTTATTTCTTTTTTTTATTTTCTGCAAACACATCCATCCAGCTGCGCAAAATATTAAAAAAAAATTGTATTGCAGTTCCAGTGTTGTGGATCAAAGAATTATTCAGAATATGAGGAAAGTATTCAGTTCAGGATTGGACAAGAGGTAACTTTATTTACATCATTATTAAGTAAATGTGAATATTTAAATGTCAACCAGCGGAAGTTAACAACGTTAATATGACAGTATCAATGACATAGTCAAAATAATATTGACGTCTTGAGAGGAAGGAGGCGTCAAAGTAAAACATTAAAATAGTCTTTTAAGACGTCATAATTATTTGGACTTATCAATAACAATGGACTTGATTAACATTATTATCTGTTAATTGCAGAGCTGTTGTTTGCATAGCAAAACAAACACTGTTATCTCTTCGACTTTAACATTATTTAAGGTGGTACCAAACACTCTGACTAAAATTAATTTGGCTCGTTTAATTTTCATAAAATTTTGCCAAAATATTTACTTTGACCCTTTGACTAAAATATAAAAATTTCTAAAAACTTGAACCACATACTTTATCGGAAAAAAATCATTGGATATATAGCAGTTTGACAAACACTAATTTTGATCATTGAGAAGCTTAATATTTCCTTAACGATAGAACGTGATTAAAACGTCCAGCTGATTTTTACAGAGTTATCTCCCTGTAGTGTTATGTACCACATAAATTAAATAAGTCACACCAACAATTTCTGTATAATATTTGAATAAAAATGTGTACTATTCTGAAAGAAACATGAAATTACTTTTGAAATTGCTCTAATTACAATATGCAGTACTGAAGAAACCGAGGCCTGCCAAATAATGTAAAATTCTGATTTTGGAACATTATTATGTTTTTTCGTTGTATGATTTGACATTAAGGGTTCTCCATTAGTTTTTCAAGTGTATTAGCTTATCAGTTAACACACAGGAGTCAGTTTCACAAAAATAACTTGCGACTACGATTGATCGTAAGTCATGAACAATTCAGTATACTTACGATCAATTTTAGTCGTATGTTTTTTTTTGTGAATCTGACTCTTGGTTCTCTAGAAAAACGTAAGGAATAAGTTTTTTTTCTATATATTTATTATTTATCATTCTGCTGCATGATGGCATAATGATTCCTTTCGGGATATGCAATTTATAAGAATCTACCGTAAAACAGAGTTTTAAAGAGTCATGGACATACAAATTTCGTCTTTGTTGTAAAAACAATTCGTCCCATATTGTGATACAAAATAAAAGTGAAAACTGTACTATCGGCATTGATGATATGGCATATATGAATTGGAGGCAATATCAGTTTAGCGATGTTCATATGAGATGGAATTTTATAAAGAGAAAAAGCAATTGTGTAGAAATATTTTTTTTTAACAGTGAAACTATGATTTTCAAAATAAGAGAAAGAAATTGATACTTTTGAAATGTACAATCATGTAATAAATGTTTACAAATACATAGTATGGCAACAATAGGCTGAATAGTGATAATCAAGAAACCCTGAAAAATATCAAAATTGTTCTGTACTGAAAATCTATTAGTGGTATGTACAGGCATGACTCATTGTTGTAGAATGATCCTCGTCAATTGTGTTGCTTCAAAAATCATTATAATATAACACACAAAGAAAACTTGAACTAAGATGAAGAAAGCAAACGCAGTTGTCTTAATGAATATTTAATTACACGGAAAATGTGTATCTCTTCAATAATGTACTAGTTAAAACCTTTTACTATAGACAACACAATTGGTAAAAAGAAAAAAGTAAAATAACAAAAATACCGAACTCCAAGGAAAATTCAAAACGGAAAGTCCTTTATCAAATGGCAAAATCAAAAGCTCAAACACATCAAACGAATGGAAAACAACTGTCATATTCCTGACTTGGTACAGGCATTTCCTTATGTAGAAAATGGTGGATTAAACCTGGTTTTATAGCTAACTAAACCTCACACTTGTATGACAGTCGCATAGAATTCCGTTATGTTGACAACATTGTGTGAGCAAAACAAACAGACATAATAGGTAAATATGTCAAAAATTGGGGTATATCAGTCAACATTGTGTTATAATCTTAATCACTATAAAAGCAAATAACTATTTCAACAAAGAAAAACAAAATGGCATATAGACACTTTATAGACAAAAAAAGTCGACAAAACACTACACAGAAAACAAAAGATTGTGCAACACGACTCCTCTAAAAAATCGAGAATGAACTCAGGTCCTCCGGAAAGGTGAACAGTATTTTATTTAAATATCTTTGGATTCAATATTGTCACATTTTGTGTTTTTGTAGAGTTCGTGGGTAGTTCCAGAGAGCTGTTGTAAGTCCAATATCGCAAAATGTCAAAAGGAAGCCGAACTGCGGGTTGAATTTCCATCTCAACTATATAGTGAGGTATATAAAAGTATTAAATACACTCTTTAGCTAATAATGTCACGAAAAGTATCTTTGGTCAAGATAATTCAAAGTGTAAAGTAACAGTTCTGATGCATGCCACACGTGTTTGCGTATGAAGGCATACCTATTCTGATTGATCATTATCACGTGAAAAGTAAAAAAAAAGTACTAAGATGAATTTACAATTTACAACAAAATTTCGGTAAACTTTTTATTTTTTGTCAGAAAAAAGGGATAAACTCAGAATATTTCAGCATAGTGTCGTCGTGTCTATCTTGAATTAGACTGTCCAACACTATATTCAATAAGTATAGTATCCTTTTAGTGCAGCATAATGTTAGCTTGAGATTCACCATTGAACACAAAAAACAAAAACAAAACGTAAATAACGGTATTTGCAGAACTGCAAATTGGTTTCAGCTCACCTCACTTTAAGTTAGTAATTATCATCTACGCACAGTTTATCATATATTCATTTATGGTGCGTTTAGTTGACCAGATAAATGAAGTACTTGTATATTTAAAATAATTCTAAAATGTTTGAAGTATAAATTAGGCATTCCAACTAAATTTTAAAAGATTTGAAAAGGAATAGCAGCTGTCCCAAGTCAGGAGCCTGATATTCAGTGGTGGTCGTGTGTTGCTGTATATCATATTTGTATTTCGTTCATTATTTTGTACATAGATCAGGCCATTATATATATAATTAGTTTTCTAGTTTGAAATTTTTTACATATGTCATTTCGGGACCTTTTATAGCTGACTATGCGATATGGGTATTGCTCATTGTTGAAGGTCGTACGGGGAGCTATAGTTGTTAATTTCTATGTCATTTGTTCTCTTGTGGAGAGTTGTCTCATTTAGCAATCATACCACATCTTCTTATTTTTATATTCATAAAAAAATGCATCATTCTGTTACTTCACACAGATTTCGAATATAACAAAGGCATACGATTTTTCTATTTCGTTTCATTTTGTATTCGGTACCTTGAGCAAAGAGAACAACAAAAACACAAACAGTTTTTAACAATATTGAACTGAGTTATGCCGCTTTGTCAGACCAATATCAATTTAAACAACTGAAACTGAAACTGACGATATTAGAAAATCACACATTTTTTTTAATTTTCGTCGCCTCAACCCGCCTCATCATATCTTTACAAAACTTTAAATATTGTTAGAATATGCTACGAATATGTTACGATATTTATCGTGAACGTTGCTTCTCTTTGCGCTCTGCATAGTAACATTCAAACCCATCAGTTAAAAAGTTAAGATACAAACATTATTGGAATGTCTATATAAATACTACCTGATAATGTACGAACAGATTTTTATTTTTATGTTTTTTGGGGGGATTACGATGATAATGTGCAATAGACAATATCTAACTGAAATAGTTATGTACAGCAAATTACGACAACACAGGCGATGCTCAAATGTTCCATAAATTAAGGCGACAGTAGTTTACCGATGTTCAAATCTCATAAATCGATTAGGAACAGACAAATCAAGGTAACAAACAAAAACCATAACAACATAACCATATCTTTCAATTTACGATCAGGTAATCTGTGAGTCTCTTTTACCAACTCTTCAATGACGATAAGCGATCAGTTCGTTTTTGGATAGTAATGACAAACCTTAATAATCGTTTACTTAAGAGGAAGAAAAATACCAAAATCATAAGTGGAAGAAAAACAGACAATATTCTGGTCAAAAAGAAACACTACGAGCCACGACATGAAATATGACAGGATTGTGGCTACGACAATTAGATCATATGCGTTGTCATCTTTGTCACAGATATTCAATAACGGTCTTCCAAATCATGATGGTGTCAGTTAAGACTTCATATGGATGACTTCAACTTTACTATTAAAAACCTTTGATTCAATAACTTCCTTGTAAACAGCAACCCTATATCCAGGAAATCATAATAGGAAAAGCAAAATTTTAAATATCATATTACCTTGGAGGTATATATCCTTTTCTTGATTAAAGTCTTTATCTTGAATAAAAATATACCCTTATAATTCAATAAAGGCAACAGTAGTATACCGCTGTTCAATAATCATAAATCGATTTAACTGAAACAAATCCAGGTCACGATCCAAAACCGAGGGAAACACATCAACTATAAGAGGAAAACAACGGAACAACATATACACTGAACTGCTTCAAAAACAAACGCCAACATACATAGAAACGGACTATTTGATAACAACTGCCATATTCCTGACTTGGTACAGGACATTTTAAGAAAAAATGGTGGGTGCAACCTGGTTTTATGGCTAGCCAAAACTTCCGCTTATATGGCAATGTTAAAAATACCGCTAAAATGACATTACGTGACAGGAATACATTACAACTAAACACAAGAACACCAAGCCTTGTTCTATTTTGAAGCAGTTATTTGTGACATTTCATTTTGACCTGAATGCAATGCCATTATGATATATGGTTAAAGCTATTTATATTCAATATTTGTTTCGTCTTCATCTTTCCTCCAGATCCGGGATTTTCAGCGTATTTACAAACATTTGTGGGATATTTATAAGTAATTGCTGTTTCACTTCGTTTTTCTTATGTCTTCATGCACCATAAAACATGCCTGAAACAGAAAACGTCCACGTCTAAATATCATAAGTATGTTAATATTCAGCAATAATGAAATTACAGTCTTTTGAATCGGTTGATGCATATTTCCCTATACAAAATATACTTTCACAACTGTTGTAATTACTTCTTTAGGGTTGTCATACGGTGATACTGGATTGGTTTATTACAAATAGTGCTGTGTTGATAGGAGTAGCTGGTGGTATAGCATGTTTTGGGGTAAGTTTGATGTATTCTATTTTTTATGAAAAAAAATTCAAAAACGAAAACATTTATCCCTTTAAATATACATGTAGACTATAAAGATGAGAAGATATTATTAGAACAACAAAACATATATTATGGGTGATGAATTAAAAGTTTGCAGATAAAGAGGAAATCTTATTACACAAAAATGTGTACATTATTATAGTTTGAACCTTAAAGGAATACAAAAATACCTTTATAAGTGTTATAAAATACATGAACATTGATTATACCAAATATTTTAAAATTTTAACCCCATCTTTTTTCATTACTGAGTCTTTAAAACATCCATGTTAAATCTGCTACAGAAAGTCATAAACAACTCTTTACCGATACAGATTGACTCCATGGCATTAGTTAAAAGCGATTAACAAAATATTTCAAGTCAAATCCTATGACATGATATTCGGGATTGCCTTCCATTGATCATACATAATATGCTAGGCACTAATAATTTAAGCATAAAAACATACATATATTTTTGTTATGTTATTTTTAACATGAATGCACTGTCACTATGAATTATACATGTAATTGAAATATTTTATTTTGATTCTTATTATCAGATTTAACATAGAGGTTTTATAAGATAAGGTGTTGTATGTACTTTTCAATTGAAAATATCCAGCACCAACATATAGACATTTTAATTTTTTTTTATTTCCTTTCATTTTACAGATTCTTGGAATAATATTTGCTTCTATTTTGTGCCGGAACCGGACAGAATATTATGACTGGGAATGATAATGGTTTACTGTGTGTTCACTGTTAAGTGTATTTCTATTGTGAGAAATATTCTTTAAATTTTGCTGCTGCAATATACATTGGGCCGAAATTTAGTACAGCGATATCAATCATCAGCAGTAACAATTGTTGCTATATAAATGGTATTCTAAGAGACTATTTGTGAACACAAAAATATTTTGTGCAAGGCATTATAATTTAATCTTTTGATTATATATGGAACAAAATGTTAACATACTAATGGAATATTGATACTCAACAAGCATTATTCATCGAACTTCATGTAGTACATTAGATGCCTTTGTTATCAAAACTATACGTAATATTCCTATTTGTGTAATATCAATGGAAGGCAGATGTCTTGTGTTTAGTTCAGGATACTCTGTTAAAAAACCGATTGTCTATTGGAAAATGATTTTTTTATTGTTTTGCTTTACACTGTTTTTGGTTAGTTTCGCCATTACATGTAATCCTTCTAGTATGCTTGGATGGATTTTTTCAACATAAATATAACTATTCTATCGTGCACTTTTATTTAATGCTCTAAACATTTATGTTTTTAGTTTTGAACATTACTAACGAAGAACACGTGTTATTCGTTTTATTAGTATATATAAAATGATAATTTATTTCATAAAAATTCATAAGAGGTCTTATTATTAAAAAATTATATTAGGATACTTTTCTAATAAGGTTTTGATTAACAAAATATCTTAATAATGTTTTTGGTCAACCTATCTTCTTACGAATCAAATCCTACACATAAAATGCCCTTTTGATATCCTTATAGAGATTATATGTTATATAAACAGGTTATTAGTTGAGTTTGAATTTAATTTTCCTAATGATAAAAGAAGATGCAGGATATACGCCGATGAGACATCAACCCAGCACCGGAAAACAAAAAGTATGAGGTGGTCAACATATGGTGTTCAACAATAGGCAAGTGTGTCTATAATATAATAAGCTCAAAATCAGCAGACCTTAAAAATGTTTTATATTCAATCGAAGGAACATTGAAAGGTCTACTAGTTTAGGGAATCGAGAGATGTTTTTTTGTTAATTTGTTGTACATATATATTTCTTTTCCTATTCCGTAATTTGTTTGACTGCCAACGCCTATGACAGTTAGAAAACCAACGGTATGATGCATATAGCATCAATTCTCAAAATAGATACATCGACTTTGTTCGGAACAGATCGTAAAACGGTGACATTTTACGTTTGACACCATAACTGGTATTTATAATAACCTTTATTCCTTCACAAATTTGCATAAATGTGTTTTATTCAAGATACAGTTTGTAGAAAGAATTTTTGTACTGCTTTGTAGCAATTTATAGATTCTCAAGTAAATGCAGCACCCTTGGTTTCTAGAATGGCTTTGAATACTATTGTTTTTTGCAACATTTTTTATATACATGTACATATATCATTTTCGTCAGAAGATATATTCATATAGTTTTCAGGTTTGATATGCAAGTGAAGGCTCTGATTTATTTTCAATAAATGTTTGCAATACGGTGTTAAATAAATCTTAATTTATGCAAATTTGACGTTGTAATTTGAAAAAAATGTTATGATCTTATGTTAGACATACAATGTACTAAGGAACCAAGTTATTCTTTTTATCTGATGACTGACACGTCGTTCTTATATGGAGACCATATTTAAGAAAAATATGTACCTGAGCACGACTGTACCAATAAGTGGTAAACAGTTGACTCACCATGGTCTCAACATTATTTTGTGAATACCTGACACTGTTTTGCAATTTTTATTCACAAAAAGTCCCGAATTTAAAGATTTAAAACAAATTGGGCTTTCATCTTGCTTAAGATCTTTTTATGATGTTTAATACACAACAATCAATTTATCAATTAGTTCCTGCGTTATGTCTTTGATACTGCTATTTGCTTTGTATGTTTTTAACACGAGGTTCTTTTTCCATCTTCGACTCTCGGTTGCTGCTTTGGTGTATTCTTACTTTCTTTTAGAACATTCAAAATTACGTTTTATTTCATTCCGAATGGTTAAAATCGAGACACAGCTTCATACAAAACGCTATCGTAAAGTTCCCTTGCAAAATTTTGGAGACAATGCCCAGTAGACAAACAATAAAAGTAGAACAAAGACTGACAGCACCAATATTTCACAAAATATTACAATAAAATCGATGTTGAACTCGTTTGCTCCGGAAAAGTCAGCATATTCTACTCAATTAATGACACAGATAACACAGTAGATTGGCCACTTGATATAAACTCATCATAGATACCAGGGTATTACTGCTATAATGAACTTGATATCCTGACGAGTAAAAAGTAAAATAACAAAAAAACCGAACTCCAAGGAAAATTCAAAACGGAAAGTTCTTTTTCAATTGGCACAATCAAAACCTCAAACACATCAAACGAATGGAAAACAACTGTCATATTCCTGACTGGGTACAGGCATTTCCTTATGTAGAAAATGGTGTATTAAACCTGGTTTTATAGCTAGCTAAAGCTCTCACCTGTATGACAGTCGCAAAGAATTCCATTATATTGACAACAATGTTTGAGTAAAACAATGTTTAAGTAAAACAAACAGACATAATAGGTAAAAAATGTCAAAAATTGGGGTACAGCAGTCAACATTGTAATATAATCTAATCACTATAAAAACAAATAGCTATTTCAACAAAGAAAAAAAAAATTAGCATAAAGACACTCTATTAACAAAGTACATAAGCAAAAATAAAAGATAAGAATACAAAATTGGCCATAGCACAATAACACAATGGCGGGATGTATAAGTACTGAGCCACGCCAAAAGTATATTACCAAAAATGAACTTAAAAGTAAAGGTTAAAAATATACAATGACATACAAAAAGACCACTATAACACGTAAAAAGTTATCAAAGGTACCAGGATTATAATTTAATACGCCAGACGCGCGTTTCGTCTACATAAGACTCATCAGTGACGCTCAGATCAAAATAGTTATAAAGTCAAACAATTACAAAGTTGAAGAGCATTGAGGACCCAAAATTCCAAAAAGTTGTTGCCAAATACGGCTAAGGTAATCTATTCCTGGGATAAGAAAATCCTTAGTTTTCGAAAAAAATAATTAAGACGATAAACAACGTCAGTACCTAGAATCTATACTTTAAGACCATCATGTATTATTTCTGAACTTGATACGGAATATTTATCAACAAAGTCTTGGTATCTTCCAATGAACCTATTTAGAAAAAGGAAGAGATGTTCTTTGACATAACCTTGGCTCATCAACTTTCTGCTCAGACACTGGTGACGTTTCATAAAGTCAGTCTGAGTAGCAGTTGCAAGCTCTTGAATACTGAATGAGTTGGGAAATGTGTATCCCATATGCAGATAATAAGTGTAAGTGTTAAAAAATTGTGATCGAGATACGCCTATCTCTATCACAATTTTAAAAGACTTTTCAACAATGTTTTTACGTATTTTGTCTCTTTGTAATCTTAGAATATTTATGCATCAGTTATTATGCAAAGCAATTAATGAATGGCTATCATTTATTTTGAATTTATTGAACCATAAAATTAATTTTTGACTCTTCACATTGAATAATCCGCGAAATGTGAAGAGTCAAAAATTAATTTTATGGTTCAATAAATTCAAAATAAATAAAAGCCATTCATTATAAATAAATTTCTATCAAAAATTAGGCTCAAAGAGTTTTTTATATTATTTATATTAACAATAACAACGTACACACATGTTGGCGTATGAATACAGAACGTGAGAGTGGGCGTGTCGCCATAAAAATTGACAACATTGAAAATAAAGGTAATACTTTTAACCAATCAGAAGACAGTAAATACACCAAATTTATTTATATGTATATGATTAAAAGAATCTGTCCAAATTGGAAAGTGAGAAAATACCTTGTTATTGAACACAGGGGTCAAATTTATGTTGCGGAAAATGATGACAAAAAGTCGGCATTTAATTTCGAAGATGAGAATTAAGTACTCAAATATCTGCAAAGGCATTCAAAATTTTAAGCAGACCATTTTTAAGTTTAAAGTTTTAAGTTCTAATATCGATTTATTTAATTTTTAGGTGAAAATACGATTTTTGAAATAAACAAAAATTGCAAAAAAAAAAAAAAATCGCGTTTATGCCTTAAATCAATGTTTTGATAAGAAAATAACAATTTTAGACCAATTGGGCAATTATTTACCTATATACAGTGTGTACAATTTCATTATATATGGAAAATACATTGCCTTGTATCGTTTCTTTTGTTGACTAGTATACATTGAAGGTACACAACTAGAACCTTTAAAAGTAAAGTTGAGGTCATCTTTTTGAATGTTTTTTACGGATGCTTTCATGACTTGGTATGACACCGAATATGTATCTTTCACAAATACAATAATCCGACCCTCCTATCCTCCTTCAGGACGTATTAATGCACTTTAACTACCCAAAAGGGGGTAGTGTAATTAGAGAAGCTGGAACTGCTTACTATTCCGTTAAGATGAAGGAACATGTGGCGTTGTGGTTTACTACTTTCGATGGTCACTTCTCAATTAACCTTCACTAAAAAAATAATACTGTGTTTATGTTGCCCTAAGCGACAGTGAATCAATCTTTAAGTCTGCTGAAACAGTATAGATGTTCTTCAGTTTCTGGAACAAACAAATAAAAGTGCTGTTTGGTGTACATATTGAACTTTACATACAGTTTTAGTTCAGTTTACAAGATATATGAGGTTTTGGGGTTTTCAAGTGAAATAAAAAAATCTCCCGTTTTTCGATGACCGTCCTATTGATATGTAATCTGGAACAGTTTTGTCTTTTGTCGTTTCTTGCGCGGGAAATTTGCTGGATATCCATCTGCATTGTCAGCCATTCGTTCATTTAGAATTACAGGTAGAACAATGGGCAAGAATTATATATTCATGAATGTTTGAAATGTCGTTCTTTTCATCCCAGAAACGAAAGATGGAAAGTTCAGAATAAAATTCAATATAGAAATCGGTTTCATTTCAAATGGCATGCAATAAAAAAGAGGAATAAAACGAAACTATCATAATTAATTACCGTGAAATATTTTTTAATTACGTTCAAATTGCTATGATTTATTGTGACTATAAGCTATGCTGCAGTTAAAAAAACTGACTATACGGTATGGTTTTGCTCATTGTTGAAGGACGTACGATGACATATATTACATCCATGTCATTTACACTCTGATAGATAGTTGTCTAAGTGGCAATCATACCACGTCTCCTTATTTTTATATCGACAAAGCTGCACAAGTTTACAAATGTTCCTTTTAATATGGTCATATGCTTTGATTACGCAGAAAATAACACCAGTTTAAAAGTTTTATTTGAACAAAGCTCCGAACAAGTCGGTTCGTTTCCATTTTTGTGTTTGAGGCGTTTGTGGCCTTATTAATAAATAAATGCTTGAGGAAAAAGAAAGTAATATTCTTGAAATTTAAACACTGGTCGATTATTAAAAAAAAGAATGTCTTCTATGTATTTTAATACTATCATTAATCTAAAGATAATAGTATATTTTACAATATCTTGAAATATTCATATCAACATAACAAGCAATAAACTATTTAAGCTTTTCTGTTTGATATAATTTTCATTTGAAGTATGATATGTTTACTGGAAAGTTAACACAGTATGTTTGATCTGTGTTTAACAAAAATATTAGATGCGTTTACAAAATTGTTTTGCTGAAGCATGTCAACACTCTGATGTTATCATTTCAAGGCATTCAATGTTAACTTGAAAGTTTACATTATATGAATGTGTTTGATGTGCGATTTTAAAAAAAGGAATAAATATTTAAAGGGTATACCCAGGTTTTTGGTGAGGTGATGTACGACTATTAATCAAACCAAAATGGATCGTCAATGTTTGGTTTTCCATTCGTTTGATGTGTTTGAGCTTTTGATTTTGCCATTTGATAAACGACTTTCCGTTTTGAATTTTCCTTGGAGTTCGGTGTTTTTGTTATTTTACTATTTTCTTCCTTTGCTTTTTATGCCATTGTGCTGTCTGTTTTTATTAGACTAATGATTTTCGATGGCCTCCTTGGTGTTCTTTTCTCTTTTTTCCAATGGTTATTGTACAGTTTTTTTATCGATACGTTAACATGTGTTATCAACAAAATTTGATCATAATTTCAGTAAATTTAGGTAGTACTAGTTTACCGATGCTCAAATCTCATCAATCGATTAAGAAGACAAATCAAGGTATCACACACTAAAAATTTTTTTTTTTTAGAGAAACATAAAAATTTAGAATAATATATTAAACTATATCTGGAATGAAAAAATAGATAATATATGATGATGGTTATAAGTTATGTACACGGAGGTTTAAGTATGCTTTATATTGAAAGTCGTGTTGAAGCATTTAAGGTGTCATGGATATATCGAATATTAAATAAAGATATTGCCATTAAGACGCCAATACCTATTAATTTAGGCAAAAATAGTTTATTGATATCCAAATCTCATAATTCGATTTAGAAGATACAAATCAGAGTAACAA